TTTTCGTTTTGGGGGTGCCGACGAATCCTGCTCTTTCTCGCCCTTTATTGAACCACCACCGCCTGATAAAACGTGCGAAAAGAAAACCGATTTCAAGTTTGCCTTTCATGCAACAGAAGAAGAAAGCGTTTGGTCCAAGGGTGCTGAATATTTTACAACTCTTTCACTCTGAAGGATCAGATAGCTCATAAATATTGGCAATTGGCATTTCTAAAATGTCGTTTTATACAAAAAAAATACGCAAATTAAGAAAATCAGAAACAATCCTAAAACGACTTTTGGTATAAAAAAGCACGCAATTTAAGGCTCTATACCGGAATCAGAATTGGAGCTTTGAAAATCAACCGGTTCTGTAATATGAGCAAAAGACTAAGAGCGGTTCTGAAAACTAACATTAATTTGAAATTTTCCCATGTTGCGAGAAAAAAAGAAATATTTGTAAAAGAAGTGTGACACAGAAAAATGTGCAATTTAAAGCTCTATCCCACAATGAGAATTAAAGCTTTGCAGTTCAACCGGTTCTCTAAATATGAGCGCAAGACCAAGACCGGTTTTCACACCCGCCTTATTTTTGAATTTTGTGTGAAAACTAGAAACATTTCTAAAATCATCTTTCGAACCAAAAAGTGCTCAATTTAGGGCTCTATAACTCAATGAAAATTACAGCTTTGCAGCTCAACCGGTTCTCTAAATATGAGCACAAGACTAACCGCGGTTTTGACACCAGCATTGTTTTTGAATTTTGTGTAAAAACTACAAACATTGTGTGTGAAAAAAATTGTGTGAAAACTAGAAACATTTCTAAAATCATCTTTAGAATAAAAAGATGCGCAATAATTTAAGGCTTTATTCGGCAATAAAAATTAGAGCTTCGCATCTCCAGCGGATCTCTAAATATGAGCAAAAGACCAAGAGCGATGTTCAAAACCGGCATCAATCTTGAATTTTCGCATTTTGAGTGAAAATTGATCAACATTTCCAAAATATAGTTTCATATAACAAAGGGGGCATTTTTAAGGCTCTATCCCGCAATGCCAACTAGAACCGGTTCTCCAAAGTGGGTTCAATTCGGGCAAATTCCGAATGAGGCGAACAGTAATGTGAAGCTTAAAGTCGGGTAGCAACTGGCCTACAAAGCTCATCTGCTTCATTCTAGGCTAAATTAATTAATTAAACTAGATAATAGATTTGAAACTCATTAAGCCGCCAGCCAACGAAGTTATTTCAATTCGAAACCGGCATTGAATAATGCCGGGCAAACTTGATCTGAAAAATCGATGCCAACAAGGAAGTTTCAATTTAAACCATCGCTTGTAATATTTACATAAAAACAACTGAATAAAATTAGATTTCTCTCAACTCAATATTGAGGCCAACAAGGGCAATTTTGCCCAGTTGCTTTGCATGTCCCTACCGTCCACCTGAATGTAGCAATACCGGTTTCTAAATGCCCTTCTATCCCTTGAAAGTTTGCCCGAATAATAAGAGACTTGTCGGCACTGGATAGACGCAAGAGGAGAGGTGTGCGGTCTAAATGCGGTAAAGTTTAAGATTAAGTTTAAACTAGTGAAGTTGGGACCGAATTCTCTTATGTATTTTAGTTGGAATCCATGTACGGCTGCTTTCAACTGCTGTGAGAGCTTGAAATTGTCGGGACGGGATTTTGAGGCTGCGATCAATCACTGGGATGAGGCTCTCTCAACCAGCAGCAATTGTTATTAGCACTTAATCTTTTGATGAAGAATCAATAATTGCAACTATAATTTATTTTAAAAAACGGCACCAGTCGGGCTATCGATAGCGAAGCGACCCTAAAAATCGTTTAAAAGCATTCCCATAATTGCACCTTTTTATCCCGTTCGTTCAGTTGCTGGCATTCTTTCAGCGTTCCGTGGAAAGAAAATTAAAGAAAAACTGAAAAAAATCAGTTTAAACTTACCGCCAACGTTCGCGCAGTCCTTTTTCCAGCAAAAGTTCTAATCCCCCTCAGAATTTATGATTAAAAAGGTTTTGTAATTATATTTGAAACGGACGAGAAACAAAGATACCTAATTGTGTTTCGTTATGGAAGCTTAATTTAATATTAAAAGAAGATGAAAACAAGTCGCTGGGAAATTCTCGTTAGTTAAAGTTTCTCAGTGGCGGAGTGGTTTCATGAGAAAACACACTTTACTGGCCGTGGAACAAAATCTATAAGTCACATTTTTCACTGGCAATTCCAAGAAAACTCCAAGACATTATTACGTGCCATTGCAACTAAGATTTAAGGATCCCAGACTACATTAATGGGGAGAAAAAACAAGGAAAACGTCTCTCCTTAAAGGCAGTGAACGTGGATATTATTTAAATGCGGTTGTCTCTATAAGTTAGAGAAAAATTAGAGCTGGGGAAAAATTGAGGCGCTTAAAACCGGGAGGCAAATCGCATCCCGTTACGTTCTCTAATTTACTGGGGAGATATTCATTTCGTTTAGGAAATGTGTTTGTTCAAGATAAGACCCGGATTCTCGAAGGTGTACGGAAATGAAATTTTTAGAGATACTTAGGTGTATTTGCGAATTTGTAGAGCAATGGACTGAAGACGCTCCATACAGAGTAGGGGGAGGAAATTTAATTATTTAATTAAACACTTGCAACTTCCTTTCAAACTTACACCTATTTCAATCTCCTAGATCTGCTTGAATGGGGGTCAGATTCTCCCCTTTCGCACACGTCGAAAAACCGAAATTGATGACTTTTTAAACACCATGTCGAGTGCTGCAGGAACAAAATACAGTTGTCGGTTCATTACCATCCAGAAACGATATAATCAAATGACTAAGCACAACTCCTTAATGTCGTCAAGTTGGGGGAAGGCTAGAGCGAATCACCTCATTGTCGTCAAGTATGTTACAATGGGGTTAATAATCCTTCCCCACTTGCCCCCCGTTTGGAACCACAACATCCCGGAAAACTATTTACCATTAGAGCGAACAATAAGGAAAACCTCCCATCCATGTCAGAAGGCGTGTAAACAGTTGGAAGTTGAATTGCGCTGTAGTGGAGTTCAAATGTGAAAATAGTTTGCATTCTTAATGGAGAAAATCAACTGTATAAGGGGATAGATTCGGTTCAAACGCACTACGGCTGGAGATTTTGCGGAAAAAAACCCGCAAAAGGCTTGCTGTGCGTGGAAAGTATATTCGCAACTCTTGAAGATGAAGTTAGTCCAAAAGTACACGAAAAACTCGTAGGAAACGAAACTGGAAAAAATGGTTTTAATTCAAACTTGGACGTTTTTCGCGACACCGACAGACGTCGAATTTTCTGTCGCTGGACGCTTGGATGTGGCATTAGAAATTTACCCGAAATAATTTTTCAGAGTTCACGCCATTGCTCTGTTTCATAATAAAAAAGAGTTTAGCAAACTGCTCAACACACTAAACATGATTTATTTTTTACAACCTTCTTTTTGGACATTTCGCCTCAAAATTTTTTGTCTTTAACAGAATTTCCTCACGTCTTTTATTACAGATTGATAAATAGTGCTCCTATTTCGCAATAAGAACGAATTATTTATCAAAAAGTAATCAAGAACAATCACCTAGAGGGTATCCTGCG